CACTTCCTCTGAAGAAGCCACTACCCTACAGAGAGGCCACACAGCAGGGACATGGGGCGGCGGCCTCTGGCCGACAGCCAGCAAGCAAGCAAGCAAGTGAAGCTGCAGTCCACCAGCTTCGAGGACCTGAATCCTACCGACAACTGGTGAGTGAGCTGGGTGGACCTTGCCTCAGGGAAACGTGAGGTGACCGCAGCCTGCAGAGACCTCACCAAGCTGTAGGACCCTGCTAGGCAGCATCCAAACATCCTACCGACAACTGGTGAGTGAGCTGGGTGGACCTTGCCTCAGGGAAACGTGAGGTGACCACAGCCTGCAGAGACCTCACCAAGCTGTAGGACCCTGCTAGGCAGCATCCAAACTCCTGACCCACAGACACGGTGGGAGGACAGCCTGTGTGTCCTAAGGTGTTGCATAGGGGATAATTTGTTACGCAACAACAGATACCGATACAGACCTGATGGCAACAACTGGCCAGGCCCCACTGAGACGCCTCACCTGGTCAGGAAGCTCCAGCAACTGCACTGGGGACATGACCCACCCCATGGCTGGCACGGCCTCCTAGCCTCTCCAGCAATTCTGCTGCTTTTGGGATATTCAAGCAGCAGTCCCACCCCCACCCCCTACCTGCTCTGTAAACGGGCTGTTTTATCTGTAGAACATCTTAGCAAAGGGAAGCCAGGCTTTGGTGTGGGCCCTTGGGAGGTAACCCTTGGCAGGACTGCCAGCCACAACCCCAGAACCCTGCTGCTGAGGACAGCAGGGGCTGGGCTGGGAGAGCCGCACTGGAAACCCCACACAGAGCCCTGTTACAGATCCACTCAGGAAATGTTGCTAAAGCAAATCCAAACCATAGGGAGAGGACGTCACCTGTCGCTGTCTGGATCCTCCAACCATACAAGGAAAGTAAGATGGAAACACTTTCTGGGATGCAGAGCCAGGAGGACACCCTGGACACACTCCAAGGAACTCGACTTCTAGCTGGAGGGAGTTTGGCTTTGCAAGACTTCTTCTGAGCAACAACTCCTTTATTTGAATGAAGACACCTAGATTCTGACGCCGGGCTATAAACGACCCCACAGACACTGTCTCCTCGAGGCTCTGAAAGCCCAATGGAACAACCAGAAGCTGCAGGACTAGGGTCTGCCATCTCCTACCAGCAGACGTGGGGGCAGGTTTACTATTTCAACAACCTCTGCCAGCAGGGCAGTACAGCAGGCCTCAACCCTGCCGGGACGCATGGCCCAACAGTGCTGCTGACCTGCCCCTCTTCCCTCAGCCTAGTGCTCCTGTTAGGACAGTGATGTCCTGCACCCACTCAGGCCTTGAAGACCCTCCATGGATTGTCCCTGACCTGACCAACCAGAGGGGACACCACACACACTGGCACACGCACAGCAGGACCAACTCCCTCAACACTAGCAGCCTGGACAAGAGCAGCAGGGCACCTCCTTCCCCTCCCCCAGGTGCTGGCCCCACCCTAGGGATTTGCAACACCTAACCCTGGAGGCAGAGACGTAGAATGTTATTGCCTGGCCTTGACCCCTGGGCCTTGACTCTTGGGCTCATGTGCTGCAGCTTTAATTATCCTGTTCCTTCCATGGTGTGCATGACCCTCCCTGAGGCCCCACGCTCCTCTGTCTTTACTTACACAGCAGTTCCCTACAGCATGTGGCTTCTTGCAACCTGCCTTTCTCTATGGATGCTGTAGGATGGTACCCTGAGGAGCCCTCTGTACTGATGACCTCACCTTCCATCATGGCCCAGTTCCCACGAAGGCAGTTGGAGATGTCCTCTAACACAGCACTCTCAGGAACAGACTGAAGATAACAGATGGAAAACCTTGATCAGAAAGAGGCAGGACTGAAGACCTGCTGGGCGTGGCCCAGGCTGGCCGGCAGCCTGGCAACCCCAGCAAATCTTCCATGAAGACCTGCTGAGGCACAAGCTGAGCCTGAGAACACCTAGGACACAGTAAGGACGCACACCCAAGATGCACAGAGTGCCAGCTTCACCGCTAAAAAGATGTGTGGCATGGGAGAGCCCCAGAGACGTACACCACTTATGGCAGTCCCCCCCCCAAAAGACCTGCTATAGGCATGAAGACATAGGACACGCTGGCAGCACCCAGTTCCCCCAACCCAAGCCCGAGGCCCTCCAGCCACTGCCCCCTCTGGACACAGCCCATGGGACTGGGAGTGATCAAGCTGAAGGGTTCACATGCAGGGCCAAGAAGGCCTGAGGGACAGCAGGCCTGGGACTAGGAGAAGCTGCCCGAGCCTTACCTGCCACTGGCTGCCCTCGGGCCTGTACAACACAAGGGGGGCTTCCTGGCAGTCCTGCAGAACCCACAGCCCCTGTGTCTCCTCAAAAGCAACGTCCCACACTCGGTGCTGGAAAGACAGCTGCTGTCTGAACACCAATTGCTGTCTCAGGGCATCAAGCTGGAAGATGTAGACCACAGGGATGCTGTCCATAAAGACAGAGGACAGTCAGCATCTGGGTGCGCAGCCCCAGGAGCCAGTGCGGCCCTCGCCAGTATCAACCTCAGGAGGCACCCTGAGCCAGAAGCACCCAGCCGTGCCCCTCCAAATCCCTGACCCGGAGAAACTAGGGCATGATACACGTTTGTTTTTAAGACCCCAAGTTCTGGGGTAACGTGTTATAAGCAACTTAAAAGCAACACAGGACAGCCAGAAGCACCCAGCCGTGCCCCTCCAAATCCCTGACCCGGAGAAACTAGGGCATGATACATGTTTGTTTTTAAGACCCCAAGTTCTGGGGTAACGTGTTATAAGCAACTTAAAAGCAACACAGGACAAAGGAAAAGGGTATGGAGACGCCTGCGGCAGCTCTGGGCTCTGGCCTGGCCAGCGTTCTTACCCGCTCTGAACCTGCACCCTCACTTCCAAAACAAGCGGAGGCCACAGGACAAAATGGGAGGTGGGCAAGGCACAAGCACTTTCCCAGCACCCAGCACAGACTCAGCAAGTGCCACCAACTCTCAAGTGGCTCCAGCATGACCAACTTTGGTGGGCTGCAGGTGGAGGCCACTGCTACCCTTAAGTAACGGGCTTAAGCAGCAACTGCGAGAGCTAACTTGGACACCCATGCTGCTCACGCAGCAGTGACCGTCGATGGCCTCTTCGTGTAGGAGGACATGCCTGTGGGCCAATAAACAATCCATGTACCCATCCCGCCCCGTGGCTTGCGGGCAGTGGGCTG